GCAGTAAATAGATATTGATAAAAATCAATTACTTATATAAATCATATCCGCAATATGTGTACGCTGGGTCGGATCAAACATTGCTATTCCCACTCAGAAATCCCCGCTACAAGGTTCATAACAAATGGCGTTACACAGCATAATGGAGGCGCACGATCTGCAGGGACCGCTTTTCATACCGTTTTATTTTGACCAAGTAAGGTAAGGCAAAAAGCATTAATGATGTCCCTGTACTAGTCATATAGACACGAATTTCAGGAACAGCCGTGCCGTTGAAATGAACGGCTGGGGAATTCCAGTGAATCGATTCTCCCTTCGTGGTAATACGAATGCTTCTATCAATAACTGCGTTGCTATTCGTCAGCGTCCGGGACCGTGGATTGAAATTTCATTTCACTGAAGAGCAAACGAACAGTTTGCAGTTACATCTATGCCAGAGCGGCTTAAGTGGCTGTGTGACGTGGCACCTTACACGGAGCGGTCGGGGTTCAAATGGGTCGTGAGTCGCCCGGGCCAACCAGCCTCCGGGGTCGGTTAATTGGTACCAGACTTGTCTGGGAGGATAAAACACTGACTTGTACATCGGCTGGCCCCCGCAAGTCATTGTATAGGCCACATCGCATTCAAACGCCACTACGAATGTACAAATGGAAGTAGAATGCGTGCCGCATCCCAAAAAGGGATTGATCAACGGCAAATGCTTTATCCTTTATCCTTTTATGCAGAGGGCGTAATAACTTCGTTGAAAACTCTGTCGTATTTGTATTAAATCAATCTAGCCTTAGGACTCGAAGTAAGTCGCAATTCATCTTGATTTACCTCATCTCCTCCAAGGCGCTCAGACAGAGACGTTGCATGCACGCTCTTTAGCTTCACGCTCTAACACGTTAATACACTATCCACTCGCTATCCGCGCGAATTGCCTTCATGTAAAGCAAGAAAAGACCCAGTTAAATCTCCAAACTAAATTGTTTGCACACACCCCCAAGAATGACGTGGATAGCATCCGTGCTCAGTGGGCCTCCAGCCATAGCTCTCAATGGGACATCTACATTTTCAAACTACAACCCACCATCGGTCCCAGAAATTCATCTTCGAAGAACCCAAGCGTCGCAAGCGATGTCATCATAAGATCATGGGAGGTCGAGTTTTCGTCATGAGATACACATGAGGACTAAATTACTTCGGGCATCAAAGATTGAATGAAAACATAACGTATCGGTCAGTCGCATTTTGAGATGCGCCAAGCATTCTGCGTCACATCCGGCATCAGAGTGCAACATGGCCTACACTATGGCACACGTGGTAGTATTCTGCCCATGACCCAGCATCTCTGTGAAACCTTCGCAACGCGAACTGCGGCATTAAGTAACAACTCCAGGTCGAGATGGTGAGCTAAAAGCGGCTGGTAATGATGGAGAGGAAAGGGCGTGTTATTTTGTGTAAATACAATCGCATCAAGATGCCAAGCATATCTACCTACCCATCTGCTACCTTACGCGCTACGTCGAACCCACATTGCGTGAGGACGAGCGCGAGACTTATCTCGTGATAAGTTAAGATTAGTCGCCATAAATTCACTTGTAGAGCCCTAGCCATACGGCTCCACTAACCCACGCATATTGGAATTAGATGCTGCGTCGTATCCACGTTACGTAGAGGTAAGCAAACCAGCCCGTTTGGCGTTTCTGCGTCGTCTCTCCCCAACACTCAGCATATGGCCCCAGCAGAAACGCCAAACGGCTGGTTTGCTTACCTCCGTTACGTATCAGGGGCGTGTGTGGGCATTCCTCTTAGCTCACATTGGCTCTCATACCCACTTTGTAAGACCCCAGCCTCTTTTTCGCTCGGTTTTGTGTCGTGACAACGACACTTCTGTGAGACTCAGGCTCAACTCTACCACAGATAGGTTGTTCCATACGACCTGATCTGAGGTTGTTGCTTAAAGCAGCAGCTAACAAACAAAGAAATCAAAAAAATTATCTACCGGACCCTCAGCCTTGCAGTTCACTGCCGATGTCGACTAATTGCCTCATCACGTTAGAAATGTGAGTACTGATAAGCTGTGGAACTATACCATCAAATGCTGAGCTAGGGTAGAATGATGCCCCGGTGGTGTAATCGCGAGCATAACTCGGAAAACAAGGTGCGTCTAAGGCGACGAGTTCTGCCCGTAAACGAGCACCATCGTAAAAATCGGTTTACTCGCTCACATGAGTTTGGTAGATGAAAGCCCTGGTCGGCCTGGGCGAGATTCGATTTGGCTATGAACCCTAAACCATGTATGTACGTAATAATTGGCACCACTTGCACCTACATCAGCTCAGCTCTTAAAACTTCCATTTTTGCAGATATAAGCAAGCTGCTGTGAGAATTTCAACACTGATACGAACGAAACCATTCAACGCCTCTGAAAGACTTATAAAGTATACCGAATTCGTGCTGATGAATGGTGGAGTGAAAGAATTACTTGTTGAAGGACGACGGCTTCCTTTTGTGAAATATTACAACCTCGACATTTTTGTTCCCTTTGGACTAGCTTTTATTTTTGTTTGTTGGATATTTTTACGGCTAGTGTACTCCATTTTCTTTATCACATTTCCATCCACAAAACAAAAAGTGCAATAACAACTTTGATTAAAATTGTAACAATGAGAAGTAAACAAGGGTGTGCTACAAACAGCAACTTGCGCAATAACGAGAGGAAGCGTAGTGATGTAGTCAACAACAGAACGTGATATAACGAATAACAAACAAGTTTTACTTGCGGAATCTATCAAGAATACTAATCGGCTTTGACGACGATGATGATTCCATGACGTCCTTTCCAAACACCTCTTTCTCCACCTCCTTTTTCTCCGTGATCCTTTCTTTTCGTATGCTATCAATCACCATATTTTTTCGATGCTCCTTAAAAGTAAACGTCTATCAATCGCTCATGCCAAGTTTATAAATGCAAACACGAACAACTACAATTTTATGAGCGCATTAACACATTCATGCCGATGGCCGCCCATATGGGCTGCCAACAACATGTGCTTCTGGGACGATGGCAGCCCATATGGGCTGCCAGCTGATAATCGCTTGCCAGGCGCTAGGAATGGACAGATAGTGGGGTAAATCTCGTAATCGAGTGAGAAATGCTTTTAAAATCCTTCACGGGGAAAGCGAATAAATGCTCTCTTTTCGTAACCACTATTTCGTTCTGATCGAAATACTTCTATTATATGGGTTTAATAATCGTTAACATTAACATTGCTAGAAATCATTTCGTTTCAGGTTTTTTTGTTCATTTACCGTCAAATCTGAGTGAGTGTGTTGAGGCCGGACGGCGGCACGAAAGAATCTCGCGTCCGCTCCCACCGCGCCGGGCCAAAAATCCGTCGACGCAAGGTGCGAGAAAAAGGGGCGTTCGGCCGTGAATGTGCTCAAGAAAAGAGATGCGGCTAAGGATTCGCATCGTTTCTTTGATTCCAGCCAACAAACGAGGTTAGGTTCTGTCCTCACGATGGTCCGCCACATCCGCCGAGGTATAAGGAGGTCCACTTCGCCGTGAGCACAGTACGATCATTGACCTTGCAGCACAGTTTCCAATGGATCGAACGGCCGAACTTCGCCTTTTACATCAAGTAATTGTTGGTGGCTACTTTACTCAGGTTTATTATGTACATGGTTTTTGCGCATCATAAGCCTTAACGACCCTGAAATATTATTTTGGAGCCATTCATTCCATGTTTTGACTGCCTCTGACTATTGGATGAAGTATTGAATCGGTTCCAAAACTTAAGGGGTGAGCGCATGCAACCTGGTGGTGAGAGTTGCTCAATGAGCCCATATCCGTCATCACAGTTTTCTAGGCCATTAGTAGGTTACGAATTTTCACGCGTATCAGTGTTCGATTGATGAAAAAGGGTGAATTTTAAAGGTTCACACCAAGTATAGAGCATATCAATATAGCGATTCATGCTAGTTGGCGACGGGAAATTATACCATATTATCGAGAATAGAATGGATTTGGTACCGCTGATCTGCTTCAATCGCGACGAGTACGGGTAGACAAGCTTGCCTGCCATCGGAAGGGGAACTTACCAGCTGTCAATATTTTGTTCAAAATAACTGTTCAGTTCTTATGTTTCTCAAGCAATAATGTTTCGGACTGTATCAACAATTCAATTTTGGAAACATCCGGTACACACGTCTGAACAGACCCAATTCTGAAAACGAAGGGATGCTATTGCCCATGTAGTCACCCACGTCACCGCCGCTGATGAGGAGAGAAGGCATCCAAACCGAATAAGTGAAACTGTGGCCAATACACGGATTAGACTTTCCAAGAAGGGTCACCCTATTGCGTGTCACAACGGGGGGGTGGGGGGTTTCGCACTTTACTCCAGTTCGCGAGAAATCATATTGAAATCGAGTGAAATGTGAGCTGTTGTGTGAAGCGCGTGGTATCGCAACAAGTGAGAGGGGCGGGGCACGCCAGGGCGGTAGACAGATGGTGGTGGTGGGGAAGGGGAAGTTCGTATTCAGATTCCCCATGGAGGAGAGGGTCGATAAACTTTTTTCAAAAAAGTCGCAAGCGGTAGGGTTGGCGCTGCGTCCCAAGGATGGCTACTGGATAACCATATGCGTGAGCACGAATGAAGCTACTTGATGATAAATTTCTGTGGCGTTGGGCAAAAAGGCTGTGACTGATAGCAGTCACAGCTCAATCAAGGTTTCTCTCGCGATATGAGAGTACCAAAAAACAGACCTTCCGAGATCCAGTTCCTCGCCCACGCATTTTGTGCTTGGGTGTGTATTGGATGTCTATTGGTCGAACATATAGAATTTTCTTTCTTTCTCAGTGTCACGTTCTAACGAGTCCTCGTTTACACGTGTGATGTCCTGCGGATCCAGTCCGATGAGGTCATGTTGGAGCTAAAACGATGACATGACGACTTTTCCAGTAGGATGAATTTACAAACAGCAGAAGAAAACAAGATAAACTCACCTTGTCAGAAGTTGGCTTGAATTCTCTTTTCTCTTGCCGTTACGTTCTTTGTCTCATATGGATTCGCATGTATGGCATCAACATTGGCCTCACCAGAACCTACAGAGAAGATATCGCGAAAGAATAAAAATAGCTTTTTGTAAATGGACAGAGAGAAACTGACCTGGAACTAGCATACTCGTGAATCCATTAGCATGGCCAACCCAGAACATCTCATACGGTACAAAGGCTAAATCTGTAATCGGTCCACCGAAGCGATTGGCGAGGTAAGGTTCATGACAAATACCAAGATGCATATCTTTGAATATCTAAAGAATAGTTCATGGCACCTTTACAAACTGCAACTACGTCAGAAAATATTGTAAAACCTTCATCTACTGGAATAAGGGTGGTGAACACCAACCTGAACGGTGTTTCCTATGGCGCATGCTACGGCTAACCGTTGGCTGATGGCAACGTGTGAAAGTCCAAACGGAAGGGAGAACGCGTGTAATTGTTTGTACATGCGTACATCCCAGACCCTGAAAAAACGCATGAAATTCTGTACTACCACATACGCATACCACTCCTTCTATGTCAGAAGTGATTACCTGCACTTTCGATCAAGCCCTGTGGTCACCATATATTTCCCCGTTTGATCAACATCCATGCCTCGGATAGAAGCCTGATGTGCCAACATTTTCACTAACGGCTCTTTCACGTTGGGAGACCACAAGCAAACAGTGCCTAAAGTTCGAAATTGTCCTATAAGGAACGGGATGAAAAAAAGGAAAGTAAGAAATAGTGAAACGTGGACAGCAAGGTTTTCACAAGAATAAAAAACTAAATAGAAGATAATTGTTTTATATAGCAGTTTTTCTATACCACATCATGTCGAAGACAGAAGTTCAGTCCCGAAAATAACTTCGAAAACTGCTCAAATATAAAATGCCTCCTTCCCCTTCCCCGCAGCCTGAAAAGCGCCGGAATTTTCCTTTTACTGTACAAGCTTCAATAACGGTGGTGAAGTGCTCCCTATACATAAAAGGCTGTCTTGTATGCTCTGTACATAGCGAAGGAGGAACTAAATACCCAGTAACAACAGGGTCGATTGATACTTCAATGCTGAAATGGTTGGCCAACAATTGGTTCACCCTACCATCTCATCTCCACGCAAGACCAGGATAGACAAGGTCGAGGATTCTTCAAAAACCTTAGTGGTGGCGAAGGTATTGAATTTGGAATTTCTGAGGATGTAGATGGGGACTGTAGGGAAGGGTGGGAAATGGAACAGCGGCATACGGAGACATATGTTGGAGGGGTGAAACTCCAGTTCGGGGGGGGGGCACTCCATTTTTTCTCCAATACTCAAGATAAGGATTAGAGGGCTCACGACACGTAATCGACTCATTTAAAGTAGACTTCTGATAAATATTGGTGTAATGGGTGAGAAACCCTGAAACGTTTTCACATTTCCGCCTGCCATGACCCAAGGGAACGGTCCTGGACCAGGAGAAAGGACACCTCCGCAAAGGGCTAAGGGTGCAGGAGCTCCAGGGTGGATCACCTGTGCAGAAAAGTGGATGGGATGTGGGCAGGTAGTGTGGAATGTAGGACATCCACCGGTCCTTATCAAAAGTACGCTCGAAATGAGTCGTTCACTTATTATCTTATCCGTAGTGTTCGATAGCCCAAAGAACTGCTCTCTAGTACTACGGATAAGATAGCAATGGAGTGGCCCCCCCGAACTGGAGTTTCACCGTTAACGCAAAATTCTCATTTCACCCCATTACCCGACATTCACCTTGACTGGAAGATTCCCAGGTTCTAAGTTTGTCCGTTAGCTACTGATATCATCATCACTTCGAAATTAGAGGCAGATGACATACCAAGCATCAATAAAAACAACAAAGATAGAGACATAGCTATTGGTAGGAAACGCAAAATCCATAACGAAGTCCCATGAAACGACTACGCCACTGCTGAGCAAACATGAGTTTGTATGTTACCTAAGACAAAATGCTGGAGTGCACACATGCCCAATGGAAAAAATATAGCTACAAGATTTACGGCAAAGCATTCAACGTGATGCCTAGAGCCCCATGAATATAACTCTTCACTGAGTTTATGCTCCGGTTTCTTCACCTTCGCCAAAGCCGACATCTTCCTCAGCATGGGGCAAGACCAACCAGCTAAGTGTAAAATATTTTGCAAAGCCCAGAATGATTCATTAAATTGGATTCGTTGCAGTTTGATACGCTCTTCAATTTCACAGATAAATTCAATTGATAAGTTACTGTAAAAAAAAAAGATCGGTAGAATAGTACGCAATGACCGCCAAACCAAGCAGTGTGTCTAAGAAGCGAGACGACATTTCGTATTCGCCTGAACGTTCTGTAGCTATGACAATTTACCATTATCATGTCCTGTGTGGATAATGGCATTGCCAGGATTTTGACACATCACATCTAGTGGACCCATGCGGGCTGGAAACGACTATCACATGTTCCCGATTGAAAAATCGACCATGGACCATCCTGTGCCTGACTGAACATCACAATGTTAAGACTATCATTAGAACAGAATAGGAAAGTTCTTCAGATGTAGAACTCACGGATCCTACTAAAAGAAAATGTCGAGGGAGGAATTCAAGCCGGTGAATTTCATGGAACTGTTTTTACACAATGCAACTCTATTCCCTGATTGTCGTACACGTATGTGTAATGTCTCTCTGTGCAGCGGCGTAAAGATTTTCGGTGTGCAGCCACCTGTAAAAAATGAAGATCAATTAGATGACAGGAAAAAACGACTTAAAATGACTCAAACGTGAAAACAGGTCAGAACACTCACTGGAATCCGAATGTTTCCATTGCATTTATCTCACAGTGCAGTTTCTTAGTTTGCCAATCTAGTGCTGCTACATGGCCTTTTTTGCCACCTAATAGAAGATGACGTCCGTACTGTCGTCTAGATATTCGGTATGGTCAAAATGTCAGATGAAGTTCGAAGTACTGTAACAAGCAGTAACGGCAAGCTTATTTTTGGAGGCTTGAATTCAGACCCGGAAAGAAACCAGAACTAGCCTTGCTAGCATTCGCAATGTCGACCGCGTCAGCAATCTCTTTTTGTCGAATTGTAAATAGGTCGGTTCGCCATCATCTCCTTCTATGAAACCCTCCTGCAGAAAATTATTTGACAATTGAAAAAAACGTAAACAATTCCCCTAATGTAGGGTTAAACCGAACACAACAATAATGGAGAATCAGAAATTCCAGAGATCGTTTGAGAAGATACAAATAACTCCAACATC